CTTGGCGTGCCTTCTCCTCCTCGCGTTGCTTCCGCTCCATCCTCTCTTTTTGACGACGCTCTTCCTCCAAGCCTCTTTGAAACCTTTCTTCGAACAGCCGTTGCCGCCGTCTTGAGCTTCTTCATCAGCCTCTCCTTTTTGGTTATAAAATTTTCGGAACGGTCTTTACTGAAATAATTATATGAAAAGGCCCTACACTCCGCATTCAACGCATCAATGGCTTCGATCCACAAGTTCATCTTTTCCTCAATCAATTCGCGTTCACGGTTCGCCGCCGCCTCAGCAGAAGTTTCAAAGAAAACGAACGGTGCCATCCTACAATTCGAAAAGTTGCTATTAAAGTAACTTAGCTTTAATTGCTTTCTTAAGCCTAACCTAATCCTCATTATATACATTAAGATTAGCACTAGATCTAGGCACACAAACTTTTCTACAAGCAATTCTAAGCACATCATACATAAGGAAATCACAAACATAAACCTAAATGGATCATAGTAATTGATTAGACCACACTAAAATGATGAGCTAGGGTTTGCAATCAAATGAGCAAATGCAAAGTAAACAAAGATATCAACCAATCAAAATGAGGGGAAATGAGAGAGCCACCTTGGGTGATGAAAATGCTCCGGATCCACCGATGAAATCCCAAGCAAATGGAGTGGATCTAGGGGGGGTTTGTGAGGGGGAGAGAGGGGGAAGAGAAGCTGAGCACGGGGAAGAAGAAGAGTGGGGAAGAGGAGTGGTGGTGGGGCCCACAAACCAGCCCCTCCCCACCTTATTCACAACACAGGACCCTATCGCCAGAGGGTATGGCGGTAGGCTTCAGTAACTTACCGCCGTAGGGGATGGCGGTAGGCCCTTTTCCACGTCAGCACCTGCCAACGGCCGTCAGTCGCCGTCAAAGGGCCTACTGCCGTAGGGTACGGCGGTAGGACACGCAACCCTACCGCCAGGCCCTCTGGCGGTAGGCAAAAGGGTAAGATCCCGAAATTTTTCCGAACTGGGGTCAGATCCCGATTTTGTTTGCAAAAAGGGTCAAAACACGAAATTTGGCCTCACGTAACCTGTAATGCAAGATATTGTTACATAAATGAAAAGATAAGTCCTGTAATGTAAGATACTTGATACAAGTTTTTGCCAAATTATGTTCTCTGTTTTGTCATAGAACAGAGTTGGGTTGGCGGGATTCACGGTCACGATTGCTTGCTCAAATATCAAACCAATGATAGTGATGCTTGCAGAAATCAGTGATAACGATGCTTGCTGAAAAAATTGACAGTCGGCTTTATCTAGTTTGCACTTCTTGTTTGCTGCCACGCAGATGCATCTATCTATCGGATCCGCTCAGATGGACAAACAAAGCAGCCAAGAACTTTTGAGCGAAAGCAACGTCGCGGGTTTCAGTAGGGTTCAGAAACCGAAGCTGGCAACAGTGGAGCTTCAACTTCTACCCTATGTAAGGATCGAAACTCCTTATTTATTTAAAAATCACAATCTTAGCAAGGGGAGCGTGACTGTTGAACTTGTGCCACAACTTGACTGCTTATGCTCATTACAGGACATTCTGCACGACATACTGTCACGGTTGTCGATCAAAGATGTCGTAAGGATGAGCACACTTTCTCTTGAATGGAAACTGCTACGGATATGCCACCCAGAACTGGTCTTCACCAAACACACCTTTGGCATCAGTACAGACACGAATACTAACCCAGATCTGGTCTCCAAAGACTTCTTTAGCATCATTAAAGACATGGATACTAAACGAGCATCCTGGGCTGCTGAATTCATCACCAATGTGGACAGTGTATTGCACCCACTGTGGTCTACTTGTACTACAACTACGACTACACTGGACAAGTTTGCTGTCGAATTTGGCCTTCGCAGAATGCACAAGTATCACATTGATAGATGGGTTAGCTTTTCCATTGCGTCAAGGGCCAAACACATTGCTTTTGATTTCACGTTTGATGTCAATTTCTTTGGCCCTGGATGTGACCAGTACAAGTATGTTTTCCCGATGTGCAGGCTCAGTGGCCCAAGCGGCTCTTGTGTCACATCTCTTGTTCTGGGCTATGTATTGTTAAAGCTGCCCCCCCAGTTTCAGTGGCATCATAAACCTTAGGAAACTCACACTAAATACGGTGTCCATTAGTGATGATGATCTCCGGTTCCTGTTGCTAAGTTGTGCCCTTCTTGAGAGTATAAACATAGAGCGGTGCGACTCCTTGTCAAGTTTACGCATAGGACAGGAACTCTGCAGGTTGCAGTACCTGCATGTGCGCCGTTGTGGACTGAAAATGATAGAGTTACATGCTCCAAATCTTACCAAATTTGAGTTTGATGACTATCTGATGCAAACTGTGCTCAGTGAATCTTCAAAGTTGTCAGAGGCAATTTTCGTGTCAAACTTCAGAGTGCTTGATGGTTATGATGATGTTTTGGATTATATCTTTACCGAGCTTCCAACTGCTCTTCCTCATGTGCACACGCTACTTCTACTTTTGACCGTTAATCAGGTACGCTCTAGAAACGAGCTCCTTATTTCGTTCTCCAATTTCACCTTCATGATATTTACATTCAGTTGTTTGTTTACCTGCCATATCGATCGATTCAAAATTAAATATTTGTTGAGTGGCCATGCATTATTTCTGTTCCAGGTGCAAAGATTCAGTAACACCCGCGATTGCTTCATGACTTTGAGGCATCTGAACATGAACCTTGATGTCTTTCTCAGTCCATATGATGATAGCTGGGTTATGGGGTTTGTTAATCTCTTGGAATTAGCACCTCTCTTAGAAGAACTGGAAGTGCATGTAAGTGGTCACTCTTAGTTATGGTATTTTCCTGCGTGTTCTGTCCACTCGAACAAAGATGTATATTGAAATTAATGGATGTACCCGTGCAGATGGATCGTGATAGATTTTGCTCCGAAAATCCGAGGACAGTGTTAGCGGTGCAAGGGCCTCCGCATCGTCATCTCAGGAGTGTCTACATGTCTGGATTTTGTGATGTATTGGGGCTAGCCGAGCTGGCGCTCTACATCCTTAGGAATGCTACTGTGCTTCAACGTATGGTAGTAGATCCTGTGGCAGGGATGATGGATAATGCGTTGACCGAACGTTTCTGTTCGGTCAGCAATGCCGGTAGCAGTGAAGAGATTGTTTTTCCAACCGACGGGACTCAGAAATGCGTAGGCAAGAAGAGGATGTTTGCAAAAAATAACCTTGACAAAGAGGAGTTTTGTCACGTCCTCGCCATTTTATGAGTACTATGCTAGAACTGGACATCCTATCTACCAATGTGGATGAGGAAATCGGCATGCTGGAAAATAGATCGGGAGCTTCTTTCCCTTCCCTTTTGAGATTCATTCCTGAACCCTGTAAGAAATGCTTTAGACAGGCATGCACAAGCTGATTGATTACAGACAAGTAGTATTAGTATGTCGTCAAGAATACAGTGATTCTTTTTGTATTTTGATCGCGCTCTCGGTTAGGCTGCGTTTTGGAGTTATGAAATTTGGTTGTATGAACTGAAGCCTCAAACTATGGTATGTGGTAATACTCTTTTGATAATAAAATTGGGCAATTAACCAAGTTCGAGTTATTGATGTGAGTGCTTTCTACCTACAATTGATCTAACGTCGATTCTTTGCATTACCACAATTCAGAACCAACAAAATCAAAGAAGCTGCCCCTTCTAACACCAGTACAGATTTTTATTTGGGTATGTCCTCCCAATTACTAATTCAACCCCTTCTAACCACTCAAATTTTTGAATGGAGAAATTTGAGAAGAAAATGGAGGGGTGGGGAGAAGAGAATATTGAAACATATTAGTTTAATCTTTCTGGGAATATAAAATACAATATTATGCCTACATTTTGTTAAAATCCTAGTTTGATCTTTTTGAAAATATAAAATTACTGGAGCCCATTCCCGGCTCAAAAGTAATGCTTTTAGGTTTGGGTTATCGGGCCGGACTATCTAACCCTAGTTTTGCTTGTGACAATAGTGATGGTGGCCCCACACCATGAACCCCAAATGGCACAGCCTAGGCGCCCCACAAGATGAGAGACACATGGATCCGATGTTGTGCAGTCAAAAGAAGTGATGCACTATGTTCCCGTGTGGTAAGCCAACAACAGATGCGAGCTTGACATCCTGAAATGTGGCACCCTCGATTGTAGAATTCTACTCCCTCTGTTTCTAAATACAAAAAACAACAACAAAGCCTTTAGTCTCAAATAAGTTGAGGTAGATCACTAGAGGTGAAACCCATAAGATCTCGCACCAACTCATTGCTCTGTCACATGGATAGCAAGCTTTTCACGCACCCCTGTGCCATAGCTAGTTCTTTGGTGATAATCCAGTCCTTCAGGTCTCTTTTAACGGACTCCTCCCATGTCAAAATCGGTCTACCCCGACCTCTCTTGACATTCACCGCACGCTTTAGCCGTCTGCTATGCACTGGAGCTTCTGGAGGCCTGCACTGATTCGCTGAATATGCCCAAACAATCTCAGACGATGTTGGACAAGCTTCTCTTCAATTGGTGCTACCCCAACTCTATCTCGTATATCATCATTCCGGACTCTATCCTTCCTCGTGTGGCTACACATCCATCTCAGCCACACCTAACTGTTGAACATGTCGACTGCTCCACAAACACCTTCATTGGACACGTATTCACCACAAACACCCTCAACCTTATCTCTTCCCTCGTCTTCCTCCTCCTCACAGCTCGACTGCTCCATCCAAATCGAACATCGAACCCCTCTCGGTTGCTCCCCCACAACTCGCAAAGTTGTGGCCATTGATGTTGCAAGCTATCGCCGTCACCAGTGCTATAAGGTGCAGTGGTCTCTGCTCCTATCTCTCTTCTTCATTAGATCCCTCCTCTAGAATCCTCGCTTCTCCCACCTTTGTAGAAGCTGTCATGGATGCGTCTCTCTCCCACAAGCTAGATGCCCAACTTTGTGGCCTACGATCCCCCAAGCGAACATGAGGAAGAGAGGAGCTATCATGGTCGGCGGCGGATGCTTCAAAGCGAATGATGGGGCTCGCAGCATGACGAGTGGGGTTCACAACATGGTTAGTGCTGCAATTGGTTTCCAACACGACCGGTATTGCGATGGGGGAGGCCAATTGAACGTCCACATCTGACGGTGATGAAGGCAGCTATAACTCTTAATTATCAGTTGTATGCCGCGTGGCAGCCGCCTAAAAATAGCCTTTATTTTGGAAGAACGGTAAAGAAAAATCTGAAACAAGAAAAAACTGGAAACAAGAATTGCTCAGAGATAAAGGTTGGGAGAACATAGCCCACGTTGGATTTGAGATGTGCGGCCCAGATTAATCTCTCTCCCTCTTCGTCCCGGCTGCCAGCACCGCTAGGGTTAACGCGGCGGCGACCTTCGATCCAGGCGATTAATGGCGCGGTGGTGAGCTCCTGCGTGTTCGCCGGCGGGATTTTCCCTTGCTCCGGCGATCCCGTTGGGAGAGGTTCTTCCCTGTTCGCGCTCCCTTCTCCGTCGCCGCTACTCCATCCATAGGTACCTCAGTTCTAATCCCTGTTAAGAATTGATGGGCGCGTTCCTCAATTCCTCATCTGGTGTGGTGATTTCTGAATGGAGGCTAGGATCTTTGTTAATTATTATCCAGTTCCAATCCCGATCCTACGATCCCCTTGTCAAATTTTTGAATGTTCACATGAGCGATCCCCATTGTTCCTTCAGGCTGATTTTAAACATGAAGTTACTTCAGGTTACTGGTTAATTTATATTCTTCTCCCAGCCAAGGCTATTAACCTATAATGTAAGATATAGTTACAAAAATGAAGAGGAAAATCCTGTGATATAAGATACCTGATACAAGTTTGTTGCCAAATTATGTTACCTGTTTTGTCCTAGAACAGAGTTGAGTCGGCCGGATTCATGATCACGGTTCCTCTCTGATATCAATGATAACGATGCTTGCCGAAACCAATGATAACGATTGCTTTCTGAAACAATTCACCGTGAGATTTATCTGGTTTGTACTTCTTCTTTGCTGCCACGCAGATCGATCTATCTATCGGATCCACTCTGATGGAGAAACAGAGCAGCCAAGAACTTTCGATCGAAAACAAAAGCGCTGGTTTCAGTAGGGTGGAGAAACCTAAGGTGGCAGAGATTCAGCTTCAACTTCTACCCTATGTAAGGATCTCAACGCCTTATTTACGTCGGGTATTACCGACTCTTTTAAAAAGCAGAGTCTTAGCAAGGGGAGCGTGGCTGTTGAATTGGTGCCACAACTTGACTTCTCGTGCTCATTACAGGACGTTTTGCGCGACATACTGTCACGGTTGTCAATCAAGGATGTCGTGAGGATGAGCACGCTTTCTGGTGAATGGAGACAGCAGCGGATATGCCACCCAGATCTGGTCTTCACCAAAGACACCTTTGGCATCAGTACTGACCCAGATCCGGACTTCACCAAAACCATTGATGCCATCATTAGAGACACGGATACTAAACGAGCATCCTGGACTGCTGAATTCATCGTCAATGTGGACAGTGTATTGCGCCCACTGTGGTCTACTTCCACTACAACTACGACTACGCTGGACAAGTTTGCTATCGAATTTGGTCTCCGCAGAAAGCATAAGTATCACATTGATAGGTGGGTTAACTTTTCCATTGCGTCAAGGGCCAAGTACATTGCTTTCGATTTCACGTTTGATATCGATTGCGCTGGCCCTGGATGTGACCAGTACAAGGATGTTTTCCCGCTGTGCAAGCTGAGCGGCCCAAGCGGCTCTTGTGTCACATCTCTTGTTCTGGGCTATGTATGGTTAAAGCTGCCCCCCAGTTTCTGCGGTATCACAAACCTTAGGAAACTCACACTAAAAACGGTGTCCATCAGTGGAGGTGATCTCCAGCGCCTGTTGCTAAGTTGTGCTCTTCTCGAGCATATAGACATAGAGTGGTGCTCCCCCTTGTCAAGTTTACGCATAGGGCAGGAACTGTGCAGGTTGCAGTACCTGCGTGTGCGCCGGTCTGAACTGGAAATGTTAGAGTTGCATGCTCCAAATCTTACCAAATTTGAGTTCGACGAAGATCTCGCACAAATTGTGCTCAGTGATTGCTTGAGGTTGTCGGAGGCAACCTTTGTATCAAACATGAGGACTCAAGAGTTCAATGATTATGATTTTGATGACTTGGCCTTCACCTTCACCGAGCTTGCTCTTCCTCATGTGCAAAAACTATTTCTACTTTTGAATTTGGACCAGGTCTGCTCTAGAAAGAAGTGCTTTGTTTTACTTTATTTAAAATTTTGCTATCACAAAGTTTAATTATTAATTTTGTATCCGTGCACTGTTTCTCTTCCAGGTGCTAAGATTCGGTGAAAACCAGACTAGCTTCATCAATTTGAGGCATCTGAACATGAACCTTGAGATCGGGTGGGATCCATATGATGATAGTTGGGCAATAGGGTTTATTCATCTTTTGCAATTATCACCTCTCTTAGAAGAATTAGAACTGCATGTAAGTAATTTAACTGTTGATTATGAAAAAAAATTCAACACATTAATTAGGATAGTTATGTCTGTTGCTTCTGTTTAACCCCTGCCCCCCTGAAGAATATTTATAGTAAAATTAACGGATATATGTGTGTGCAGGTTGGTCGTGATAGATTTTGCCCTCCTACTATGAGGATGGTGACGGCTGTGCAAGGGCCTCTGCATCATCACCTGAAGAGAGTCCACATGTCTGGATTTTGTGATGTATTGGGGCTAGCCGAGCTGGCGCTCTACATCCTTGGGAATGCTACTGCACTTGAACGTATGGTGGTAGATCCAGTGGCGTATGCCGAGACTCTTCACACTGATGATATCTATTCAGTCAGCAAGGCTGGTAGTATCGAGGGGGACCATTACCACGTCGATCAGAATAGGATGTTTGCAGAGCAAATCCTTGGCAGTGAGGAGTTCCGTCATATCGTCACCATTTTGTGAAGTACAATGCTGGGGCTGGAGATGCTATTTATATATGCCAACGATGGATGGAATGGGCTTGGTGGAAAAAGGATCGATCGGGAGCTTAATGAAGATTTATAATAACACTCAGAAGGGAAGCATTCATGTACAAGCCGAATGATTGGATGCAGTAGTGTGTGCACCAAAATTCAGTGTTGTGAGCATTTTGGTTGCAATCTGGGTTAACTATGCTTTCTTCTTTTTCGGCATTGCTATTATGAACATAAGCAGTTGGTAGCAATTTTGAGTGATATATATGTGGTACACTGTCATTAATAAAATCATCGAATCATTCATCCTATTACATGCATGGTCTGTGTATGATACTGTCAAGATTACATCCTATTATATGTTTTCCTTGCTGCAACTAATCTTCCCCCAGTTCCTTCACAATATTACATTCTTCTCTAAACCTTCAAAATCAGAGAAGTCACTCCTTCTAACTACATAGAGATTCTAGTAGTTAAGTTCTAAATAACCACCCACTAATTCACCCTTCTAATTAACTGCAAAAGGGATCTCAACAGATAAATTTTAGTGAGAGGAGAAGAGGGAATATGAAGGGAGTTCTGCATATTTTGGCCTACAGAGTTTGAATTTTGTCTTGCTTGAAAGAATCGCAAACAAAGTTTAATTTTATAAAAAACTCAGAATATTTTCTTGTCGGATAAAAAAAGAAAAATACGGGGACAGAGCCAACCATTAAAGCAGAACATTATCTTAATGTGGAAGAGGGATGCAACCCTTCCAAATTACTTAAGACTTCAAACTTTTTCACTTCTTGAAAAACAAGAAATTAGCAGCTTCTCAACACATACACTTGCAGTGCTGTAACTATATAGGAGCTCCACAAAAGGAGAGGGAACTGCATGCAATGCAACCATGCCATATCAAAACAAATCCATCACTTCAGCAACATTACAGGAAATGACAAAAATGTTTGTCTTACAAGAGCCAATCTAAGACTGTCTAATAAGTATTCATAAATACTTCCAGGCTCATGGCATTATTACAAAACCTGTCGATACATATACATACATACCGTTCTTAATTTGTTTCTCCTTGGGACAGGATATTGATCTCCGCACTTCTTGCTGGGGGCTATTATCAGTCTTACTTCCTTACCTTTTTGGGCAGCCGGCATCCATTATGCGCGAGCTGGGTCACGTCATGGACGTACATGATAGGAGACGGGGTTCTCACTCTTTCGCCCCGGAAACCGTCCGCGAAGCCCATGATCACCTTCTTCTTCTTCCTGAAAAAGGAGTATCCTTTCACCTTCACGACGACCGACTTTAGGCCAATCTTGCTGGCGACTCGCCCCATGTGTTCCCCTGTAGCTTCACCAGCATACCGAGCAAGACGAGACCGCCCCTTTCGATCCTCCAAGCAGCCAGCGGAAGCCCCAGCCTTCCTGTTCCCCTTGACGTCCGTCACCGTCACAAAGGTCTTCTTCCCCTTGAGCGTGACGTGGAGAACGTCCCTCTTTACTCGCAGAGCCCCTGCTGGCCGCAGCATTTCCATGTTAAACCGGCCCGACCTGCCACCAGCTGTGAATCCGTTTCCACCCATCCTGGCACCACCGGCTGTGAATCCAATTCCGCCCATCCTGCTATCACCGACTGTGAATCCAACTCCACCCATCCTGCCATCACCGGCTGTGAATCCGTTCCCACCCATCCTGCCATCACCGGCTGTGAACACGTTTCCACCCATCCTGCCACCGCCTGCGGTGAATCCGTTCTCAGCAAAGTGAGGGGAAAAACCGCCGCCAGTCTGGTTCCGTGCTTGCATGATGAGGCGGCTCATCGGATCACCGGCGTTCGCAAGGCCCTGCAGTGGGCTCTGCAAAAGCACAAATCGAGATTCAAATTGTATCAAGCACCAGATAACAAGATGGACCACTCTGTTCATGTCTAGGCAAAACTGGGTAAAAGAGCAGGAGTATATAGCAATGCGGCTGTAAGAATTAAGATCAAATAATAAGATTTATGGCTATAGTAGCAAGCATTTGTGGTCAATAACATCAACAGCACTGGACTTAGTTAATTTGGTAGGTTAGTTGGCAATGGCAAAGGGGCCGGCACCCTCAGAACAGCAGTAAAAAAACAAGGACATATATGATGGCAAGAACACCTCTGTTTTCTTCTTCTATTCATTCCCCATGAAATGAAATAACATCGCAGTTGAATTGGTAGGAAGCACGCGCGCATTTGCCTAGCTCACGAATCTATCCTATCTCTCTGTTTCATTTCAAGATTCACTTCACCTGCCTACCTACCTCGCTACCATCGTATTGCGAGTTAGATGGATCTGGATCGAGTTTCTTGCGGGGAAATGCAATGGAAGGAAGGGAGGGATGGGGAGCTGGCGAACGTACCTTGTCAGTGGACAGCAGCCGCTGGGCGCCCGGTGAGGAGAGCGGCCGCAGGAGCGCTCGGCCGGCGAGCCCAAGCGCCCTCGCCGCCATCGCCGTCTGCTGGCCGGGAGGAGGACGAGATCCGGTCGTGGCCGCGGCGGCGACGAGAAACCCTCGATTGAATTTTCTGGTCGTGTGATTTAGGCCGTCTTTCCTTCTTGGGCTTTAACTGGACCTGCCTACCGTTTAGTGCCCACATCAAATGTTCTTACTTGTCTCAAAAACAAATACTTGTTTCCCAAAAAAAATCGAATTTTCTGACTATATTCTCAAAAACCAAATAGCAAATGTTCTGATTTTTTTTTACTTCTGAAAAAACATGTTCTGGCTTATTATTTTTATTCCTAAAAAAACATGTCTGAACTTTTATTTTATTTTCCTAGCTATCAGTGTTGTGCAGGTTGACCATTGGCCAAGGATAGCCATGTAATTGTAACTATTGTGACAGATGAATTTATTTTTATTATTATATTGCTTGTTCTGATGTTCTCTCTTCTTTTTCATATGAACATTTACGAATCGTAAGATCTTTATTTGTATTCCCATTTGAAGGACGTAAGTAAAATACACCAAAAAAATCCACGTCAAAAGAGCTAATAAATTCGACGTCTGATTAGTTTTACATTTCTTTTATTTTTTTAGGGCAAACTCCATTTATTTTGTACTTACACTCTTCGCCATTGATTGCCTACAATGGTTAGCATCGGGACTAGCTGAACAAGAACAATGCATCTAACGTACTAGCATACTAGAATGGACTAACAATGAAGCTCATCACACTACCACATCTACCATATTGACATGGACTGATAATGAAGCTCAACGCACTATGACTTACCGTACTACACATGGACTGATCATAAAGCTCAACACACTACCACATCTACAATACTAGCATGAAAACCGACATGGAAACACATGTAATACTAGCACATAAGCATCGATCTACCACAACACCATGAACATCATCACTGCAAACAAGCAAAATCTACCATACTACCAAGTACCAACACAACACCACTAGCATATGATCTACCACATCCTGACCCAACATCATGAAGCAGTACTTGCATAACATGTCATACTACCTTTAGATCTACTCTAATCTACCAAATGATCACATATATAAGCTACAAAAACTAGGGTGTAATGGTACTTAAAGCCATCGGGGGAGCGGGGAGGGGGAAGGAAACAAGTCGGAGAATAGGAGGAAGAAGTATCGACGTCGTCGACCATCGATGGACGTAGAAGATAACACCACCGGCCTGCTCATCGGTGAACAAGCTTCTTGGGACAAAGAGCTTGAGGATGGGGAGGGGGGTTGGGGTGGTGAGCCGAAGGGGGTTAAATAGGGTAACAGGCGGGAATCAACCGAAGGTGACAAAGTTACTCCAGCCATTTTTTCCGAGGGACGCATGCGTGTTCGTGCCATCCCCGCGCCATGTTTTCTCTCCCTGCATGTAGTGAGTCTGGCTCCCTGGAAACAATCGACTCAGGCGTTCCTTGAGCGCTAGCCTGAGATGTGCGTCAAAGTTTGTGTGGCCCACTTTGATGATGCAACCCAACTAACCAAACTGGCCAAATTTGCTCCCAAGAGCCAGCACGGGGCTTACGAGCAACCATACACGCCCCAAGGGGACCTCCTATATGACACATTTTGCGTCAAAAGAGCGGCACGGCGCATATAGAAGCCCAACTGGGTCGTAGCGAATGGCACTATAATCTAATCGGTGCAGCGTAAAAAATCCTAAAATAACAGTGCATTCTCATGGGTTCGAACTCACGATCGCTCATGGGTTCGAACTCACGATCGCTCATCTCAGACTGCTTGTTGCTAGCCACTGAAGCTGGTGAGCATTCATGACTGTTTGTAGTGCGGAGACTTTATGAACTGACAAGAGAGGCGGGTCAAACATTTATGAACTTTTTCGAATATTTCCTAAAGATTGAAATTTTATTTTCTGGAAAAGAAAACAAAATTTGAAATTCTGAACAAGTTTTGAAAAAATTAAACAAAAATTGAAGTTTTGAACTTTCTGAAAGCATGAAAAAAAAAGAAATTCCAAACAATTCATGTATTTTTTAATCATTTTTTGAAAAAGTGAAATTCTGAAATATAATAACTAAAAACATGATTTTTTTAAAACTTCAAAAAAAAATATAAGAACGAATTTGTTTTATAATTTTTGATCAAATTTGAAATATTTGATTTTTTAAAATGGAACAATTTTTTAAATTCTAAAAAAATGATAACATTAATAAAAAATTGAAATTCTTTTTTTAAAGAATAAAGGTTTTTGTAATTTTTAAACATTTTTGAAGTACTGACCTTTTTTAAAATTTCGAATTTATGGTAAAAAAAAGTAAAAATAAACGAAAAAGGGAAAAACCAAAAGAAAAAGAAAAAACTAGCTAAAAATGGCTCAGGAACCTTCTAGAAGATTCCCAAACTGATAAAAACCAGAACGAAGCTATGCACACCGCTAAAATGGATCAGCCCAATTGCTCAATATGTCGACCATACCTGTGCGAATCAGTAATACTTGACAGAGAGAGAGAGAGAGAGCATCACATAGGGTTTTTCCTCCCAAGCGCAAGCCATGAGCCGTAAACAGCGAGCCCGCCATTTAATTGTGTGTGATTTTTGCATGGCATTTAAATTGTTGATGTGAAGTGTGATACCGCTTAGTACCAGAATTGAATTTTAGACTTGATTCTTTAAAACGTTTTTTATTTTTTTTAAACTAGTACTTCCCCATCCAGAATTACTTGTCGCAAAATAGATAAAAATAGATGTATTTAAAACTAAAAATACGTTTAGATACATCCATTTCTACGACCAATAATTCCGGATGGAGGAGTACAGTACAAGGCAAAAATATTCATGCAAAAAAAAGGGGAAAATATCAAGGACTTGGCGCGCGCACACCAAATCAATCCCAGCCACAAACGTAGATATTCTTCTACCTTCTCTCCTAAGACTTTTTCGTAAAAAAAGAAGAAGAAAAAAGAATCCCACGCAATATCCACAACACCACCTCAAGACAGCAGCCACCACAAATCCACGAGAATGCAGCCATGATCGGCTCCTTCCTCCCCCTCCCCACCACCACCACCTCCGGCCGCTGCCTTCCGCCCCGCGCCACCGCCACCACCACCCTCCCCTTCCCAACAGCCCCGCTCCGTATCCGCCGCCGCCGGATCCGCGTCTCCGTATCGTCGTCGTCGGAGAGCAAGGAGGAGGGCGCGGCGAGCACCAACGGGTCGCTGCCGGGGCTTCCCCCCGTGGGGGAGGAGGAGGAGGAGGACGAGTCCTGCCCGGTGGAGTGCGTGACGGAGTTCAAGACGGACGAGGAGTTCAGCCGGTTCCTGGAGCGGTCGAGGGCGACGGGCGCGCTGGTGGTGGTGGACTTCTTCCGGCCGTCCTGCGGCAGCTGCAAGTACATCGAGCAGGGCTTCATGAAGCTCTGCAAGGGCTCCGGCGACCACGGCTCCCCCGTCATCTTCCTCAAGCACAACGTCCGTCCCTACGCCGGCTACCTGCGTTCCCTTCTTGATTAGTCAAAGAACTATTTGCATCTGATATCTGATAGAGAAGCTATGCATGCTTGCAGGTGATTGACGAGTACGACGAGCAGTCGGAGGTGGCGGACCGGCTGCGCATCAAGGTGGTGCCGCTCTTCCATTTCTACAAGGCCGGGGTCCTGGTGGAGTCCTTCGCCACCAGGGACAAGGACAGGATCACCGCCGCCATTGCCAAGTACACCCAACCTGATGAGTAAGCACAAGCATGCATCACACGCACGAATCCATTGTTTATGAGCCTCTAAATTGATAAGATCTCCTTGATTAATCGCCTACACATGCTTAATTACCTTGGAAACTGTTTTTTTATAATGCTCCTTGGAAACAGTTAGTGAAATGAATGACACATGAATCTGCTCCTATGAATTAACTAATTCTCTTAGTATTAACCTGAAGATCTCTGTATATCCCGATCCCGACTGATCTATGTAGGCATTTCCCTTTTGCAGGCAGGAGCCGGAGGAGTAATTTCTACTCCAAATACGTACATACATCAAGAGCCATCTAGCTAGCCTGGTAATCAATCCAGTGGTCTGCCAAAGCTAGCTAGCTAAATGAACCTGCATTGTAGCAGGAAAAACTAAACTGGGATTGGTCGTAATAATAAAGCAGAGTATATCATGAAATAGTTGTATGCAAAGGGATCCATGTAGAATGGTCGAGGATAGATCCTGGTGGATTACTCAATGCCATTCCCGATCCAGCGACCCCCCGTTGCAAGATTTCAGTATTTGACGACCTGATCATTTCAACACCTGAATGAATTCTACTCTGTTTTTGTCCGGAAACAGAGTTCTATTCTATGTGTTTTTGCCTCGGAACAAATTAAGTTGAAATGGTGTGATTCACGATTGCTTGATGAAAACTATAGGGACACAACGCTTTATCTAGCTTGTGCTTCCTCGCTGACACACATATATACTCGCATCTATATCAGTGTACCCCCATTGATAAACTAGGTCGCCAAGAATGCTTCAACAAAGTAACTGATGACCCACAAGTATAGGGATCAATCGTAGTCCTTTTGATAAGTAAGAGTGTCGAACCCAACGAGTAGCAGAAGGAAATGACAAGCGGTTTTCAGCAATGTATTCTCTGCAAATGCTGTAGGTAACAGTGATAGATAGTTTTGTAGCAACATAATTCGTAACGAGCAACAAGTAACAGTAGTAGCAAAGGTGCAGCAACGTAGCTCAATCTTTTTTATAGCAAAGGATAGGCCGTAATGTTCTTTTATAACAAACAAAACGTTTTTGAGGACACATGAGGATTATCATCTAGTCACTGGACCTAATTCCTTGAGGGCAGAGTCTCAAACGGAGGAATCCATTGAAAGAGGACATGTTGGCGACGTCCATCCAGATTGATTTTGCGATCAATACAACGATGTCGGCGGTGGCTAATTGCGAGTGCCCTCATGCTAATGCTTCCTCCGCTGCCGGTAGACCAGAGGACGAGTCCCCTTGGGCTTCTGTCCTTGCAGATTTGGCCCGCCTTGTGGGCTGGAGGGTGTTTCAAGAGACCTCCTCGACTACGTCCGGTTCGGCGCCGTTTGCTCTGCCTAGCATTCAGCTACGACCTCTCCACGCGGCCGTGACATCACTGATCCATGGTTTCATCCCAGGCGGTGGATGATGCTGCCTGAGGGCCATGGCCTTCACCCTGCCGGCAAGAAACATTTTTTCAACCTTTCTACTGGAGTCGCCATCGAGTTCCTCTTCTTGCGGATCCCCTTGTTCTTTGCCTGGTTGATGGACAAACTTTTGCCTCTCGATTGTAACCCTATTCTTATGGAATAAAACTCTTTCCTTGCAAACAAAGCTTAACTTTTTTTAGCGTAACATTTTTTAGGAGAATTTTGGATCCAATATTTCTAGACCCGTGAGCAAATAGACATCGGAACAAAAGCCCAACTCAACCATCCCGAGGCCAGGCCTTATGTTAAAAAACAAACCGGCCAGGCCCAGGCAGGCTAATTTGTTGAAGATACTCGTACGAGCGTTGGTACCCGTAGGCTACGCTAGGGTAAAACAGAAAACTACGAAATCGATCGGGGTTCGAGATCGATCGATGTCTTCCTCCTCGCTTCGCAATGGCCCACCGGCCATTACCACCGCCAGCTCCGGCGACGTCTCGCCGTGGACGACCCTGCACGGGGATCTGGTCCGCGTTGTCGGATGGCGGGTGCTCTCCAGGGACCTGCTCGACTACGTCCGCTTCCGTGCCGTTTGCCGGTACTGGCGGTCCAGCACAGTCTGCCCGCGCGGCCGTGGAATAGTCGATCCGCGGTTCCACCCGCGCCGCTGGATGATGCTGCCCGAAGGGCACGGGCTCCATCCCCGGGAACGCAGCAAAAAACGTTTCTTCAACCTGTCCAGTGGAGCTTTCGTCCGCCCTCGACTTCCGCTTCTCAGAGACCACTTCGTCCTCTGCCCAGCCGAGGGCCTGTTCGTCATCGTGCCAGGGCGGCAATACGGCGACAGTGTATGCCTCCTCCACCCTTTCACTGGGGACGTTGTGGAACTCCCGGAAAACATAACTCTCCCAGTAGACATAACTCTCCCAGAAATCTTGCGACCAATCTCGTTACCGGCCAATGCGTTTGCGGCTGTGAGCACGAGTCCGGATGGAGTCGTCTGGGTCATGATCGCGTTCCAGAATACACCGTTCATACTCCTTGCTAGCACAAGGCACAAGCGGTGGAGTTTATCTGCCTTACCCTTCCACCCACATGCGAGCCCATTATCATTCAAAGGAAAACTTTACATGTTGCAGGAGCAGAGATCTAGCTCGGAACTAAATATTTTCCGGATCGACCCACCTTGGCAAGAGCATTCAACGACATCGGGTTTACCTTCCTCTTCCTCGTTGTCACCCAAGTTGGTTGCCACATGTCCGGCGGATAAGTTCCCCGCGCCAGAGCTGGTTGAATGCGACTCCGAGATCCTGGTGCTTGGCAATATAGAAGCTACACAGTCGATGCACATTTACAGATTAGTGGATCTTGCCCAAGAAAAGTTTGTCCCAGTAAAAAGCATAGGAGAAAATGCTCTTTTGATTGATACTGAAAGGAACCCGAGTTTTAGTTTCTCGGCGGTGCCTGCCATCACGGGTGATACCATTGTGTTTGGAGATCGCATCTTTGCTAAATATATTTTGCAATACCACCTCAGCAGCGATACCTGGTCATCAAGAGTTGGGGGATGTGAAGAATATGGTTGTAGCATGGAGTGCTGTACTTGTAGCCTCATTGACCATATGTGCAATATCTGTCGCTGTGTTTCTAAGTGGTGAGCTACTTTTTGCACCCGCCCAAACTTATTTAGTTCACACAAATTTTTTTGAGTCGTAGTTCAGACAACTTAGTTGGCGTGTTAATGATTCCCCTCCTATATATGCATGCAGGAACACAGGTGGTAGAAAAACCAGTTCAGCCAGTTCCAATAATAACCATTTCATTGCCAACAATAATGCAAGGCATATCTAGGCTAGGTGAACCATGGGTGGCAATATGCATGGAGCAAGTTAAATTTGAACTCTAATACCCTGGTTCTTCTTATATATACGCAGGTGTATATCCTTTGTTCACAAGCCCGACTCTTCTAGGTGGTCTTGCACCCATGTCTGGACCATGGGTGGAAATATGCATGGAGCCAATTAAATTGGAATTGTAATACCCTGATTCTTCTTATATATACCCAACAATAGTCGAATAATCTATAGCTGGCGTTCACAAGCCCGACTCTTCTAGGTGGTCTTGCACCCATGTCTTTTGGGATGAACTATTGCTCTGTAATCCTTTTGCTTGCCTGCGTGCAACACACCTCGCTGTGTTTGGTGGAAATTAGTCTGTTTGAGCACCACTATGTAGATCCTAGCTTTTGCTTTTTCAGTCTTTAGTCTCTTTGTAATTCTTGGCAGCCTTAGGCTGAGATCTTGTATCATTGCTGGTTTCGTTTTTCAATGAGAAATGGAGCCGGGGAGGTTGCGTCCCTGTTCATCTGGAAAAAAAATACCAATTTTTAAAATCATACTTACCACAGATGGTTTTGCTGAGTCTCGGTCGACTGAGACTCCATTATGTCTCAGTCAATACTATATTCCTTTGATCTTGCATGGAGATTCATACAAAAAAATCTTTCTTATTTTGTTCTTTTTTCTTTTTTTATATACCATGTCACTGGACTGACACTTGATTAAGTCTTAGTCGACTGAGACCTAGCCACACCTTATCATAGGAGTGTTTTTTTTTCATTTTAGAAAACACAAATTGATGTGTGACAAAATTT